TTTAGTGCTTTGCTCAGGGTCATATTTCTCCTAAGTGCAAAAACGAGTTCAGTGCTTGAAATCGACACTGTCATTCTCCCAATCACAAACTTTTTCCTTTTTAACCCATTCTCTTTAATGACAGTTCAACTTCAGAAAAAAATAAACTGAATTTGCACAAACCATATGAGATTTTAACAATAAGGTCATCTGGGCAAAAATTCAGCCAAGGCGGTAACATCATATATTCATTTTCTGTATGATTAAACACCAATTGCCACCAAGTCAATTCTGACTCTTGGTGACCCCATGTGTGTCACAGGGTAGAACTGTACTCCCTAGGGTTTTTGGTAGCTCATTTTTTGGAAGTAGATTGTCAGGTCTTACAAGGCGCCTCTGGGTGGACTAGAAATTACTAACTTCTTACCATTGAATGCATTGACCATTTGCATCACTCAGGGGCTTCCCCGTATGGCTAGCACTACTTAAAACACATGGTAATGAAGACAAATGGTGTACTTCCTGATAGGTGGTATCTTGAGCCTTTTTTTGTAACAATCTCTCACAACCCCAAGACCTATGGTGAAAAAACTGCCACCCCATTGACAGCTTACACTGACAACTCTAATGTTAATCAACAGCTGTAACATTTTGGTTATTTTTATCCACTGTACCTATTCTGGTTCTAAGTTTTCTAGTGGTTATTTGAGAAACAACTGATAAGGTTCTGTAGTGGTGTAGTGGCTACAGGAGTCACGTTCAGAGTGTGAGTAAGAGGATAAGCAAAGGGACAAATAAGGGTCGGGCAAAGAGAAGTATATGGTATTCAGAAGCAAGGAGAGGTGACGAACTCAGCTATTTTTTCTTAAGCTAATGAATTTTCTGTGATAAGGATCTATAATAAATGTAATCACATCTTATTAGAGGGGGCCCTGATCAAAGTCTACCATTTCAAACTCCCATAAGGAATGGTATCTAGAGGTTTATTTAATCCACATTGCATATTACCTAAAAGAGTGTTTCACAAATTATGGTATACCCACACAATGAAATACTACACAACGATAAAGAACAATGAAGCCGTGAAACATCTTATAACATGGAGGAAGCTGGAGGTCATTATGCTGAGTGAATTTAGTCAGTCACAGCAAGGCAAATATTGTATAAGACCACTAGTACATGAACTCAAGAAAAGGTTTAAACACAGAAGAAAACATTCTTTGATGGTTACGAGGGTGGGGAGGGGGGCGTTATTTCCTAACTAGATAATAGATAAAAATTATCTTAGGTGAAGGGAAGGACAGCACACACTACAGGGAAAGTCAGCACAACTGGACTAAACCAAAGCTAAGAAGTTTTCCAAATACAATCAAACACTTTGAGGGACAGAGTAGTAGGGGTAGGGGTCTGGGGACCATGTTTTCAGGGGACATCTAGGGCAATTGGCATAACAAAGCTTACTAAGAAAATGTTCTAAATCCTACTTTGGTGAGTGGCGTCTGGGGTCTTAAAAGCTTGCAAGTGGCCATCTAAGATGCATCAACTGGTCCCAACCACCTGGAGTAAAGGAGAATGAAGAACACCAAAGACACAAGGAAAGTATTAGCCCAAGAGACACAAAGGGCCACTTAAACCAGAGACTTCATCAGCCTGAGACCAGAAGAACTAGATGGTGCCCGGCTACCACCAATGACCACCCTGACAGGGAACACAACAGAGAGTCCCTGACGGAGCTGGAGAAAGGTGGGGTACAGAACTCAGAAGACCAGACTTAATGGTCTGACTGAGACTGGAGGAGCCATGGAAACTATGGCCCCTGGATTCTCTATCAGCCCGGAACTAAAACAATTTCTAAGGCCAACTCTTCAGACAGGGATTGGACTGGACTGTGGAGTATAAAGTGATACTCATGAGGAGTGTGCCTCTTAGCTCAAGTAGATACAAGCGACTAAAAGGGCAGCTTCTGTCCAGAGGTGAGATGAGAAGGCAGAGAGGGTTAGGAGCTGGTTGAATGGACATGTGGAATCGGGTGGAAAGGAGGAGTGTGCTGTCACAGTATGGGGAGAGCAATTAGGTTCACATAACAATTTATGCATAAATTTTGTATGGGAGACTAAACTGAAATATAAACTTCATTTAAACTACAACAATTAAAAAAAAAAAAAGTGTTTCGTCTTTGCCAAAATTTTGAAACCACCATTCCCAGCTGATTTATAATTTTATGAACTCAAACTATACATGCTCATAGTGCAGGCACTCCCTTTTTTAAAAATTTATTGAGGTGCAATTCACATGACATAAAATTAACCGTTTTAAAGTGAACAATTCCACAGCATTCAGTATGTCCACAAGGTTGTACAACCACCATCTCTATCCATTACTCTGAAATAAAATCCCCTACGCATTAAGCAGTTTCTCCCCAAGGCCCTGGCAACCACCAATCTGTAAACAAATACTCTTTCATATTGCTTATATTTATTTATTTGGTTGACTGATTCTTGGTTTTGCACCTGAGCCCCACCCATCATATGGGAAACATCTCATGGACCAGGATCATTCTTTTCTTACGGAACACACATGGCATAAACGGCTGCTGCTTAATTTGCCTATTACTGGTCCTAAATTTTAACCCTGGACAATTTTCCTCCTTTGCTAACCCCTTCTCTCTCTGCCAATCAACTCTGGCATAATCCATGTTACTTACCTTAATCATAGTGAGTCGTTTTTACAAAAAGCAAATAATGAAATCATTTGATTATAACAACTCTGAATTTTCTACAGATGTGGATGATTAATTTTGCGAATTACCTACAGGAATTGTATAATCCTAGTGTTATTTTACAGAACTGCAGAATATTAAAAATTTACAGTTGGCAGGAAATTAAGATTACCGAGTCTGATTCCTTCATTTTGCGGGAGTCTAATTCTCTCATTTTTTTGAGAAGTTAAGTGACTTGTCCAGAATCACATGGCAGCTCACATGGTAACCACAAGCAAGGCTTGTCCCAAACCTGGAACTCCTGACTCTTTTGGTCCCCACCAAGCTTCCTGAAACTCTATCTTTACGATATCCATTAGTGTTCAAACTAGACACTATCTTTTTTATTTGATTCTCTGAAAAACATAACTGTGACAGTAAATTTGCTACTACAACCCTGTTTGCATTTTGTATTCCAAGGTCAAACATAAATGTCAGAAGATTATTCGCAGTATGCCTTTTGTTATTAGGATAACAGGCCATCCTTTTTAAAAATAAAGATTGAATTTTGGTAAATGGTACCACAATTCCTCATCAATTTAAATTATGTTACAGAGTTTTAATTGCTGGTTCAATTGAAATTAAAAGTTGCTTCTTTTAAGATTTTCAATTTCTCAGAATGTTGGTCAAGTAGCCCAGTGAATCTTACGTTTAACAAACACCTAAAAGCATCAGAAGGCTTCTTATTTAAGAATTTTTTTTAAACTTTTTTTTATTGTGCTTTAAGTGAAAGTTTACAATTCAAGTTAGTTTCTCATACAAAAAATTTATACACACATTGTTATGTGACCCTAGTTGCTCTCCCTGTACTGTGACAGCACACTCCTGCTTTCCACCCCAGATTTCCCGTGTCCATTCAACCAGCTCCTGTTCCTTTCTGCTTTCTCATCTCACCTCTGGACACAAGCTGCCCGTTTAGTCTCATGTAACTACTTGAGCTAAGAAGCACACTCTTCACGAGTATCATTTTATGTCCCATAGTTCAGTCTAATCTTTGTGTGAAGAGTTGGGCTCGGGAAAGGAAAACTCTTCTAGTGAATATTTTTGGGAAGCCAAATCTTTCAGTAATACAGGGCAGAACTCATTCAGTGAATTTTCTATGTCATCCATTCTTAGAATGGGGTTACGCAAAATAAAATATATTTAGAGATAGAACCTAAAGATATTGGAAAATTAGTCATGTTACAAGGTTGAATTATTTAAATTATACAAACATTTCTCATATTAGTGTGGAAGGAGCTGTGGTGGCACAACAGTTAAGCGTCTGGCTGCTAACCAAAAGGTTGACTGTTTGAACCCACCCAGCTGCTCCTGGGGGGAAAGATCTGGTGATCTGCTCCTGTAAAGATTACAGCCTAGAAAATCCTACGGGGCAGTTCTATTCTGCCATACGGGGTCACTGTGAGCCTAAAAATGACTCGCTGGCAGACAACAACATTAGCGTGGATCATCAAGAGCTGAATGAATAGTTGACATCTGACTTTAAATGATGATGATGATGGCCAAACAGGCCTCCCTAGTATCCAATTTTGAGAGTACTGACTGTGTTGAACATTTTTCACATCCTCACCTGGGTAGAATGACAGTTTATATCTTCCAAACAACTTCCTTCCCCAGCACTATATTGCTCTGAAGCAGGCTGTGATGGCAAGTGACTTATGACCAGGGACACTGTGGGTAATGCTTAGGCGTAGCAAAAGCACCCTAGGAAACCGAATGTCCACAGTGGGGAAAAAATCTGCTTATCACAGACCAGGGATCCCTTTGATGTGCTAGCAAGCTACTCAAAATCTCAGAAAAATCAGTGTTTTTGAAAGCACAAATACATGCAGTGTTCCAGAGGGCAGAAAATGAGGACAGCATAAAAACTGCGTGTTAAAGGGCATGTGCTTTCCTACAGAACTTCAAATTCAGACAACATTTATTCTACTCTACCCCAAACTAAACCTGAGACTAACACAAGCAAACGAAAACCTGAGTCCTCTGCAAAGTAGTAAGATACTACTTACTGTTTATCCTACCTCTAGATAGCTTTTCACTTACTCTGGAATTACAATGAAACTGTAGGGATTGAAAAGTGTTTTTCTAACTAATCTATCTAAACATATAGGATATAGAGGAAAAATACTCATCTTGAAAAGGTTATTGATCTTGTTTTTATTCTCACACTAAGCATTAACTATGGTAAGATCTCCAGGTCTCCCTTTGCTGCTTAATTACGACCACTTTGTAGGCTGTCCACTTCAATAATGCAACCTGGTACCTTCGGATGGCCACAGTGAGAGCCTCTGGCGAGCTGGCACAAGGACAAATGACCTCCTGCCGTAGACCTTTACTTTGGAAGACATTGAGAAATGCATCACAAGAAGAAATAGACCCTGGAGTGAAAAAGTCAAAGACAGGGGAAAACAATCAGACAGGTGAAGCAATGCAATTTATTTAAAAAATATTCAATAAAATATTTTTAAACACAGAATTTAGGCATACAGGGTGTCTTAGTTATCTAGTCCTGGTATAACAGAAATACTACTAGCAAACAGCTTTAACAAACAGAAATTTATTCTCTCACAGTTTAGGAGGCTAGAAGTCCAAATTCAGGGTACCAGCTCTAGGGAAGACTTTCTCTGTCAGTTCTTGGGGAAGGTCCTTGTCATCAATCTTCCCCTAGTGTAGCAGCTTCTCAACACAGGGATGCCAGGTCCGAAGGATGTGCTCTGCTCCTGGCGCTACTTTATTAGTGGTATGAGGTCCCCCTGTATCTCTGCTTGCTTCTCTCTTTTATATCTCAAAAGAGATTGACTCAAAATACAATCCAATCTTGTAGATTGAGTCCTGCCTTATGAACACAACTGCCTCTAAACCTGCCTCATTAACATCACAGACGCAGGATTTACAACATACAGGAAAAATCACAGCAGAGGGCAAAATGGTGGACAATCACATAATACTGGGAATCATGGCCTAGCTAAGTTGACATACATTCTGGGGGGACACAATTCAATCCATAACACAGGGAGTTCTTGTTAGTTGCTGCCAGGCAAGTTTATTTATATATAACTTATCATTTATGCTACATTGAAAAATACTTTATTTAATGCAATTTATCACTTAAGTTACAATGAAAGATGACAGTATTCTCAAACTTATAGCAAAAGGGGAAGAATACTCAACGATTTTTAAAAATACAGCTTTTATACCTAAAATATTTTTGTGGACTGATGAAGTTAACTTTAATAACCTTTTCTTAGACTTGTTTTTATCATTTTCAATATGTATGTTCCATGAGATAAGAAAATCTAAAGTAGATGAAGAAAATTATCCTCTATGTTAACCTGAATGATGAGATCCAAGTATAATTACTATAAATCTATTAGTCAAGTTACTTCTAAATGCAAATTTACCTTGCTTTATGCAAGGCACATTATTCTGTAGAGTTACAATTTTGTGTTAAAATAGCTCATGATTTATGGAGTTATTTTATAAATGGAAGAATCATTTAAAAATGAATACTAACTTAACTGTTTGCAAGTCCACTTTTGTATATCAAGCACTCTTTAAGAAAGTATATGCTGCTTTCATCTACAAATGCATACACTGCACAATTTGCAATGTGGTCAGAAACATTTCACATTCAATTTAAAACACTTTGCTTCAGGCTTTACTTTGCTTCATTCTTTGTGAGAAGAGCTGCTCACAAAACAAGTTAGGTGGGTTTTTGTTTCAATTTACTGAAATATTTCTCAAGGTATATTAATAATATTTTGTGGAACTATAATTTATTTTATCTGGGTATTCTGCTGTAAGATCTGACAATGAAATCCCATTAAAAATGACAAATTAATTTCCTGATCAAGTAAACTAGTAAAAATAATAAAATAGTAACAGTTAACATCTCTTGAGCACTTCACCCATGCCAAGGAACTGTACATAGGGATTACTGTATTTAATTCTAATAAAACCTTAGATGTAGATATTGTTCTACAGCTCAGGAGTCAGAGGATGAAAGTTAGGAACTTTCGCTATAGAATCAGGAAGTAGAAGAACCAGAACTTGACCCAGGGCTGCATGTCTCCAGCCTCCATGTTTTTAACTACTATGTTCTTAACCATGCACCTCAAGGCTGTATAATACCGTTTGATCATTATTTTAAGACCTCATTTCTTAACTAAGATAAAGACTAAAAAAATAAAAATCAAAGCACAAAGAATGAAACATACCCTAGAAAATGAGGACCTCTACTGCCTGCCTGCCTGCGTGCCTGTCTTTTAAGCTAACAATATAAACATCACTTACAGGGATTTGCACCGTCAGCCACTATTAACATTCGGAGAGAGGAGAGATTGATGTCTCTTTGATCTCTATGTGCTACTAATGCCCAATGCATGTCCCTTGATTTTACACAAGCCACTTTTGCTAAAAAGAAAAACAGAAAGTAGTAAGTTAATATGTACCCCCATCAGATATTTAAAAACAGAAGTAATTGTGCTTGACAAGCAAATGGTAAATAATCTTAGGTGACATTCACTGCACATAAATGTGGGTGTCACCAAAACAACTGTCAGAAGACTCTGGAGACCACCTGAGTGTGTCAGCCTTACCTTTGTACTGGCAGACCTTCTGTATCCAGGACAGAGGGTTCACCTTCATTAAAGAGTATGGGATGCTGATTACATGCATCATGTTCATGACGCTCTGAAATCAGAATAAAATAAACATACACAGATGTAAATATATTGCCTGCAATATATTAACATAGCAGGAAAGGGCTATCTCCTCCACAGTGGGGAAAATACATCTAGCCAAGGCTCAACAGGCAGAAGAAAATGGACATGTGAGGTTTCAACTAGGTACTCCAGGTGAGAAGCATGTTATTGTTGTTAGTTGCCATCAAGTCAGCTCCTACTCATAGCAACCGTATGTATAACAGAATGAAACATCGCCACATCCTGAGCCATTTTCATGATCGTCAGTATATTTGAGTCTATTGCTGTGGCTACTGCACCAATCCACCTCATTGAGGGTTTCCCTCATTCTCCCTGACCCTCAGCTTTATCAAACATGATGTCCTTTTCTAGTGATTAGTCTTTTCTGATGACGTGTCCAAAGTAAGCGAGTTGAAGTCACGAAAGGGGGTTATTAAACCATCAAGTATTCTGAGGGTGAGTGGACTGCTGATAATTATGAGGCTTCACACTATCAGAACATGAATCCTGGTACAATCCTTTAAAAGAACTTAAAGTGAAAGTGAGCTCTAAAGGTTATCTAGTCCTCTCTGCTTTTGCCTTTCCTAAACTGTTCCTAATGGAATTCAAGTATTTAAGTCCGAATCCTTTTTTAACATAAAATCTTTAATTGAATGACCATGAATGATTTTTTCAACAGCCTTTCACATTCTTGAAGTGTAACTGGGTCTAGTATCTTATACTAAAATTGTATTATTAAAGTAAACTTCCTGAATTAAATGCCACACTGAGATGTGAAGGAGTAGTGGAAAGTTTGTCTCAGTCACTCTCAGTCTTCCAGCTAGATTTGCTTACATAGATCAGGACTCAAAAGGTTTCCTTTCCTTAAAAGCGATGAGCAAATACTTAGATGGTTACTACCTACCTGCTGTAGTTGGGACTTACACAACTACTTAGGCATCACAGAGGACATACTACACAAGTAGAGCTGAATGAAGCTACAGGGACTGTAACAAGGTAAATATTAGACGAAATCTTTCTATCTGGCCTTTAGCATATTAGTATTCTCATATATATTGAGGGTGGAGGTAGAATGAGGGGACACAAGACCAGTATGTAGAGCCAATGATTCAATTCAAGAAGCTCGAAGTCAAAATGAAAAGAAAATATCTACCTTTCTAGGAGGAAGTTCTGTCAGCTGACCAGAACGCACCTCTGTCTTCCCTAGTGCACACTTCTGCTCACCCTTGGCTTCCTCCCCATTCCATGCTGGGGGGAGGTAAGAGCATCCTTCAGACTGATGCCATAAAAGACTGTGAACTGCTATCTAGTCAAAGGTTTTCCTTGCTCTAGAAAATGGTAGAAGTCTCTGGTTGTAAATAATTAACACACTCAGCTGTTAACTGAAAAGTTGGAGGTTCAAGTCTACTCAGAGGTGCCTCAGAAGAAAGGCCTGGTGACTTGCTTCTGAAAAATCAGCCATTGAAAACCCTAAGGAGCACAGTTCTACTCCGACACATATGAGGCTGCCATGAATCAGAACTGACTCAATGGCAACCAGTTTAGAAGGTGGCACAAAAGAGACTCACTAATTACTAATTACTGCAGTAACATAAACAAACAAGGTGACAATATGGACAAGGGAGTTACTTAAGCAGAGGAAATGATATTACAAACACCTTGACAGCCAGATTGTCATTACTAACACTATAACCAAAAACCTGGTGCATCTCTAATAGTAACTCTAACAGTAACAGTGATAGCAATTTTCTGTTACTGAGGACATGATAATTGAAACAAATGAACATGTAGGTGTATTAGGTGCTTATTAAACATTAGGCCACATAATTCTCACAGTGATCATGTTGGATAGGTATTATTAATCTCATTTACAGATAGGAAAACTGAGGGTCAAGATGTGAAGGTATTTTGATTCATTAATTCATCAGCCAACAAATGTTTCCTGAGAATAGGCACTATGTGACTTGCCTAAAGTCACATATATGGAAGGGCTGGGATTCAAGGCTGGTTTCTAATAATGGAAACTTCCTAACAGAAAGCTGCTATTATTGTTACTATCAGAGTTGCTATCATTATTAAACAGTGGTGTGGTGGCGTAGTGTTCTTTCCACTGTACTGCCATACCACTAGAGTGTAAGCATTTATAAAAGCGTATCTGTATTTTATCATCTAATAATACTGAATGAAAGAAATGAACTATGGCGTAGTGGTTAAGAGCTTGTCTGCTAACCAAAAGGTCGGCAATTGGAACCCACCAGCCATTCCTTGGAAACCCATGGAGCAGTTCTATTCTGTCCTATACGGTCGCTATTGAGTCGAAATTGACTCGATGGCAAGGGGTTTGGTTTGGTTTTTTGGTATTAACAGAAAGAAGCAAGATGGTGCTGGTTTTGGAAGCTCAAACATTAGGTATATGCTGTGCTTACAGCCTCTTATTCATACAAATTCTGGCTTATCAAGAAACAACAAATCCCACTTACTGTATTTATGTCTCATAACTCATGAAAAAACACTATTAGAATTTTCTACTTCAGAAAATATAAAAAGTTTCTGCATAAAACTACTAAAAAGAAAAATGGCAAGTGACAATCACCACATATGAAACAGACATGGGGAGATTCAGAGCAGTTATGCTACACATGCCTTTTAAAACACTGAACCTATCTTAAACAATGGGGATAGTTCTCTATTAAAACTGCCTACAGCCTGGTACTGTCATCACTTAACAAGTGGAATTAACGAGACATACATTTTTTACAATGCACGTTGAATTTTCATCTTCAAGGGAATATTTGTTATTTCTCCTCTATAGTACAGGAGAATTACAGATTCCCTAAATATTTATAAATTCTGACTTATAGAAAAAAATAACAAGAACACCCTAGCCAAATCAGGTGTATAGGAAAGTGAACAAAACACAAACAAGAAGTAGATAACATTACTGTGAAATTTTAAATGGCAAAAGTGGGGGAAGAAAGACACTGAACTCTATACTAGCCTTAAAAAGGGTGCTCTAAGGAGCCCTAGTGGTGCAAAGGATTTAGCGCTCAGTTGTTAAGGTTGGCAGTTTGAACCCACCCAGCAGGGCAGAGGGAGAAAGACCTGGTGATCTGCTTTCATAAAGATTACAGCCAAGAAAACTGGATTGGGGCAGTTCTACTCTGTCACATAGGGTCACTATGAATCAAAAACGACTTGATGGCACCTAAAACAATAACAGCAATAACAATGCAGCTGTAACCTCAAAGCATGAGTTTAATGACACAAACAAGTAGCTACTGAAACTAGATATGTTGCTATTAGAAGCTACATTATCTGAGCCTTCTAAACAGTGATGATTTTTGTGTGCATCAGGATTATATCCTTTTAACATACATATTCAATCTGTATGCTGAGCAAATAATCTGAGAAGCTGGACTATATGAAGAAGAATGGGGCATCAGGATTGGAGGAAGACTCATTAACAACGAGCATTATGCAGATGACACAACCTTGCTTGCTGAAAGTGAAGAGGATGTGAAGCACTTACTGATAAAGATCAAAGACTACAGCCTTCATTATGGATTACACCTCAACATAAAGAAAATAAAAATCCTCACTACTGGACCAATAAGCAATATCATGATAAATGGAGAAAAGACAAGTTGTCAAGGATTTTGTTTTGCTTGGATCCACAATCAACACCAATGGAAGCTGCAAAAGACCTCTTTAAAGTGTTAAAAAGCAAAGATGTCACTTTAAGGACTGAGGTGCACCTGACCCTAGCCATGGTGTTTTCAACTGCCTCATATCCATGTGAAAGCTGAACAATGAAAAAGGAAAACTGAGGAAGAACTGGTGCATTTAAATTATTGTGTTGGCATAGAATATCGAATATACCATGGACTACCAGAAGAACGAACAAATCCGTCATGGAAGAAGTACAGACAGAATGCTCATTAGAAGCAAGGATGGCAAAACTGCATCTCGCATATCTTGGACATGCTATCAGGAAGGACCAATCCCTAGAGAAGGACATTATGCTTGGTAAAATAGAGGGCTAGGGAAAAAGAGGAAGACCCTCAATAAGATGGATTGATACAGTGGCTGCAACAATGGGCTCAAACAGCAAAATTGTGAGGATGGCGCAGAACTGGGCAGTGTTTCATTCTGTTGTACACAGGGTCACTATGAGTTGGAATTGACTCAATGCACCTAACAACAACAACATGGCAGGAAGAGAATTACCCAAACTGATATATAAATTACCCAAACTGTATATAAATCATAATTCTATTTATAATATTGAGCACATTCATATGTAAATATGTACACAGATGGGAAAGGGGAGAGGAGGGAAGAAGTCGTACTTACTGTTAGAATTCCATGCCAGAGGCCAACATCTTTCTTGAAATCTAATACATTTACAATTGTTTCAGCTGTACAGTAAAAATACAGAAAAGATGTTTACTAATTAAAGTCAGCACAGACCAAAGTGCAAACAAAATCTGATATAACATCAGGGGCAGTAATGGAGCTTGGAAAAACATCATTTCACGGCATCTTTGTGGAAACTCTGCAGCTTCCAACCAGATCCATTTAACAATGCTGGCTAGCCTTCTGAAAGCTGTTTCCATATCAGTGTCCGTCATGTAAGGAAAAAGCAAAAGCCGTCTAAATCATCACTCAAAAAAAGACTACTCCTTTCCCTCTTATATATTTATTTTCTAACCTCACTCCCACTTTTTTTTTTTCATTTCCTTCATGTGTCTCCCAGGAAGGGGAAACAGCTTTAATCTAACATGCTCTGTATCTGAGGGGGAATATCAACGCTCAGCAAATGCACTGGCCCACGTTGTACTACAAGTCTTTAAAGATGGTGCTGGGATAGTGAAGGAAGCATAGGGAATGTGGAAAGATGTGGCTGGAAGAGTATTCAAGAATTGTGGAGGGAAAAGAGAAAGGGGAAAAAAAAATTCTAAAAAGGGGGAGAGAAAGAAAAATACAGTGTTTTCAAATTGGTGTATTAGCGCCAAGCTAAAAATACACAGCTGAAACAATTCCTACTACAGAATGTGGAAGAAAGCCAGAGATCCAGCCAGGAGCAATGTAAAAGTTTCTTTTGAAGTCTTGTCAACCAGGTCTTGTGCTTCAGCCGCCATCTGCGCGCTCAGATGCTGCCTGACACTGGGCTCCATAGTCATCAATCAACGCCTCATCTTGTATTCTTACTTGTTCTTGCCGGCAAGGTTCGCCAAAGGCTTAGTAGTGTGGCCCTTATTTCCCCTTCAAAGGTTAAAATATGAAGGCAGACATGCAGAGGGACTTTCAAAAATAAACATTCTCAAAGGAAACAGCCTATATTCTATATTATAAAAGTATTTTTTAAGTAGAGAAACGAGGAGTGAATATATATATTCCCTCCCCAGCCCCCGTGACAGCCCTGGACCTTCAAGATATTACAGCAAGGAATAAAGGTCATTAGGCTGTAAAAAATGTTCACATGAAAAATGAAAACATGCTGACAAATAAGATGAGGATGATGGCTAGAAGCAAAGGTCTACATGTGGGAAAGTGTCCGGTAAGCTAGTTCAGGGACCAAACATTACTGAACATTTTGACAAGACAGATGTGTTATTTTAAGAGTGGAGGTGACCAGAAGCTTGAGGAAAGGAAGAAAATGAGAATGAGTAGAAAAAAGAAAAGCCAAAGCATTTCATTCTAAAGTGGAGTGACAGGGCGTCACCAATAGCATCTGCAGGTACCAGAAAGTGAGGCCACTGCAGAGGGTGCACTATTGGGGCATGTTTACACCACAGGAACTAGGTCACAGAAACCTCAAGCCAGAAGGTACTTAGAAGCTATGTGGTCTGACCTTTCCTGTAATGTAACCAATTCAGTGCTGTCAGCACAGTTACTTCCTGGCCACTCTATCTCTCTCCTTCCATAACCATCCTATGCAGGGGAAAGAAAACACGTAAGTGAAAACCAGCTGTTCTCAGTGGTGGTAGCCCACCACCTGGGAACCTCATGACACCATCCTCAGGGGCTCTAATTCAACTGCTATGGAGTAGGCTTTTTTTTTTTTTTTTTTTAAAGCTGCCTGGTTATACATTTGTTTAATGTATAGCCAGGGTTGAACACCTGTGGTATTAACTAATAAAAAAATTTCAAATTTCACTGAATTAGGCACAAGCTTAATACTACTTTTACTGTCACTACTAGAAATAACATGGTTTCTCCACTGAAACATCTCCAGCCAAAATGACATTTCACAGAATCAACATCACAAGGAGTCACGGTCTCACAGAGAACTTGGCACTGCTGAGGGAAAAGGAGATTGGTCCATACCTTCTGTGTAGCCACATGCTTGTGTAAGTGCTTGGCAGTGGGTTAGTAGTGCAATTCTTGTCACAGTCACCCCAAGTACGCTTCCGTCCTTACACGTTTTATACTAAAATGAGACAGAAAATGTATGGAAAAGTGGTGTTGAGAGGCAGTATGGTAATTAGTACACATCTAACGGTTTGTCTTACTCATTTAAGATGCTCTGAGTTCCTTAATTATGGAGTTTGTATAACCATCACAAATGCAGGTTCCTCAATTCCCAATGTACACATTCACGTCCAATGGAAGTAGATCATGCCAGACTTACCTCAATATAAGCAGTGTCATTATTTGCATCCTTAATGTGAGGGAACCAATCTCGAGGAGGTTTAGAGAGATGTTTAGACTCTGTGACGAACCATAATAGCTTTGGCCAACCTTGGAGATAAGTGACAAATTGCTTTTAAGTTAGCACTCAGAAAGTATATATGCAAACTTTTTTTAAAAGCATTGAAAAAAAGTTATTTCTCTCCATTTATATGGTATACTTTCAAACACAACTTCAAGCTAGACTGAATCTTTGGTGTTTCCGTATTTCATCAAATCTAAGACAACATCAACAAAAAGTACACTGTAAACCACCGCCGATTACATTATGTCACACCATAGATTGTAAGACCAGTCCTGATTTCAGAAATGTTACTTGTGAAAAAATGTGTGCCTTGGAATTGATGCAATATAGTATACTCTTCTGTAAATGAGAAGCCAGTATCTTTGGCATAAAGAACTTAGGAGAAGTAGCAACTTCTCAAGAGCTCTTTGGCTTACCTTTAAACTGTGGTATCTCTCCTGTTGGGCTTTTTGGTAGTCCTTTATGGCAAGCATCACTAGTCAAGGCTACAGTAACTCCACAGCTTCCAAGCAAGAAACCTATCTGTTGGCTTCCTGCATCCTGAGAGAAGGCAACAAAGACAGGATGGTTAGGAATCCAAGATTAGGGCTCCACACCTGGGAAAAAACTACCTAGCCATTAAGTATTGGGAAAGCAGATTCACCTCTCTAAGCTTTTTTCCTCCTCCTGAACAACTAGTAACTCAGGACATGGACTGTGAAGTCTGCAGAACTAGGAACAAATTCTAGCCTTGCCACTTGCTAGCTGGTGACCTTGAACAGATTAGTTAACTTGCTTGGCCTTACTTTCCTTGCTTGTAAAATGGGAGCAAAAAGAATAGTTATCCCATGCTATGTTTGTTGTGAGGGACAAATTAGAACAGTACATGTAAAGTGCTTACCCCAATGACTGGCATTTGGCTAAGTTTCATTAAAAGGCTGCAATTATATTTTTCTCCACTTCTATATGACTATGATTATAACTGTGATAAACATAATCACAGTAGAGAACAGGAAGTATCCAAGAAAATCTCTTCGTATCTAATATACTAGGACCAAGGACTTCACTTTCAAAATACTCCAAGCAAAAACCTATAACGTACACGACTGCAACTGACATACAAGACATAAGCCATTCTCAACCACAGAAATGAAGACCTGAGCGACTTTTCTCCTCCCCCTGAGGCTGTATGCCATGTCTCAGTGAAATAACTGGCATGTTGACTCTGGTGACATGTAAAGGGCACCTGTTGCCGTTGAGTTGATTCCGACTCATAGTGACCCTATAGGACAGAGTAGATCTGCCCCATAGGGTTTCCAAGGAGCAGCCGGTGGATTCAAACTGCCCACCTTTTGGTTAGCAGCCAAACACTTAGCCACTGTACCAACAGGGCCACAATTGTAAAGGACAGGAAGCCACCAAATTACTAACCCCCAACTTGTGAATGTCACATTTGCGCTATCCTCAGGTAGTGCAGCTACAACCCCTGTGTGGCTCTGCTGTGGTGACTTGTGTTGTTGATAACATCCAGTTGTCCCAATCTTTTGTTCCACAGGAAGACAGACAAGTAGTCAAGTAGGTTCACTTAGCTTTCCCTACTGCCCACCAGTCATGTCAGCTATGTTGGTTTATAATCTTCTAAGATTCAGAAAATAAAATGAAAGCCCCCAAATCATAAGCATTCCTAGAACTGAGATGTCATCACTTGCAGTGAATGGGTCACTCTACTCAGTCTTCAGCTACCACTGGGTACTAGGGCATGAACCCGCAGTAACCTGGTTAACCATGCGAATGGGACCAAAGGCCTGGTTTACCAACTCTCACACCCATTTGTCCCTCGCTAATGGAAAATACATGAAAGAAATTTGTGGCATTTTTACCTCGGTGAATTCAGCAGCATTAACATTTCAAAGCTATAGTTTTTTAAATGTTCATTTTATGCTTTTCTTTTTGTAGACTTAATTTACAGTGAAAAATACACTTCTTTATGTGGAATTCTCAATCTAGATGTGTCGTTTGAGGGTAACTCATGGACCCATGTACCACTGCCCTGTCAACATCCCAACTTGTACACCCCACACAATCCTGAGAGGAGAGAGGATGTATGGGGCTCAGCAGACAGGGATGTCCTCTGTTTCAGGGACATATCATTGTACTTTCCCTTCAAGTAATAATTTTTTCAAGTAAAGATATAATAGCTACATTTTCATGAGGGAAATCAGTTACCTGACTGTGAATTTGAGTATTACATTAGCAAATATCATGACCATGTAAAGGTGAGGGAACAGAGGCTCTGTAAATGGCATGAGCTGTATGTAGCAGCACAAAGCTGTTTCTTTTATGAGCATATGCTTGGAGGGTTGAGTCAGGAGGCACACACTGTAACTGTCTATAACAAAACCTTGAGATGACTGAGAGCCAGAGTTACTCAGAGCTACTGCTTTCAGTAAGTTTCTTTTTTTTGCTAAGAACAATGTAAATTCTCCAGAAACATGCCAGCCCAACGGGATGGCTCGTGTCCTGCAGGAGAGAGAACACCACCTGATTAAACCACTGTGACCTGATCCACAGGGTCAATGGTGTTGCAGAGGAGGCCAAGTCACTTCAGTTCCCAAAGATGCCAACACTCTGACCTTCATCCTCCTAGGGAATAAGCACTGCTTTCCCCAACGGCTGTCTTTTAATAATCTAACTCCTAAAATGGTAAAGTCACATATTCAAAAAACTCTTAAAATATAGAAGAGATTAGGGGCCACACGGAAAGAAGAGTAATTAAGAACACAATGTTGCAAGTTAGCATGAAATTCAGCCTTCACACTTCTTAGCCCCTCTGCCTGGATTGAGCTTCTCATCCCTGGCACCTAGAAAATTCCTACCCATCTTTCAGAGCTCCACTCACCTCTCACATCTGTAATTAAATAAATGCATGACAACCTATTGAGCCCAGTGTCTAGCACAGAGCCTTGTATATATACAGACACTCTCAGCAAATAATCGCTGAATGAATGAAACCCTGAGCATGCTGGCACCCAAAGCAAAGGGAAATTCAGTCTTTCATGGAGCTCACTGCCTGCTAAAAGTCATCCTTAGGATGAGTCTGTCTGGCTACACCCCTATACTAGCTGCAACGGTACTCATTCCATGATCAACATCCAGATCTCAGTTCATTCTTTTGAAAAAAGGTAAGGCCTGCCTCCAGTATGGCTGAAATTGCCAAGCTTGATATGAAACTGACTTTGGGAAATAAGCATTTCATCTCAGGAAGAATGTAAATAAAATAAATCTTCCCAGTATGCATACTCTGACAATAAAATCATTTCCTATACGCTTCACACATACCCCCGCCCCCTCAAGAATAAGCATATTTCTGGCATATAAATTTTTCCTACTTTGGTAACTTAAAGGAATAAGGGTAAACATAAGTGTTCCCACTCTGTAGGTGGGTAGCGGCATACTTATACCTCCCTGAAGTGCTTCGAGGTCAAGGAATGCGACAATCAATTCCTCTATCAAAAACCAGACCAAAACAAAACAAAAACCTCTTTACAACTCTTATTTGCTTTTTAAGAAAAACTGGACCAAACCTAAGTTCAAATGTTTCTCTCACTTTCTATCTTTCTTCAGTAATAAAGAGTTGGCTAATTATGCCACTTTCTAGAAAATCTCTCCTTATAAGCAGCTAGTCTGTCAGTAACTTTTCAAGAGTCACATTAAACAGGCCAGTATAGATATGTCATTATACCATTACATCTCCCGCTCTTATCCAAGTCTCTCCGTCAGAATGCATCAATCATCTTCATAAAAAGGATCTTCCCTCTAATAAATGTAAAGTAAATTCATGAAAAGTCATCTCTAATGAACTCATTTTGGATTTGTGGCCCCAAAACTACAAGCTAGTGTTCATCCAATTTCATTCCTTGCCTACTCAAAGTGCTGACTTAACAGTTTGCTAGCTCTCAGGAGGTAGCATAAGCGAAATATGTACTGTAATGGAAAGATGAACTTTAAATGCATTGCTCTGCAGAATCAACACAAAACACACTGCAGACTAATAGTAAGTTTAAAGATGATTATGGTGATGTAACCAGCCGGGACAAATTTGACATAAGAAGATTGTCCTTACCAATACAAAGACAAAATGTAATAATTAATTTATTGGCCCTTTGCCAAATAATTTTAATTTTTATTTATAATGGCAATTTTCATGCACACACAAAGAGATAGAGTAGAAAGAAATCCCATGTACTCATCATCCAGCTTCAATCATGATCAACATTTGGCCAAACGTTTTTCATCTGTCACCTCCAATACACATGTACACTCACACAAACCACACATATGTACATATACACACATGTACATATACTAGACATCTATCATTTCATCATCATGCCAATATATACTTCAGCTTGCTGAGTTTTCACCCCAGAGCAGCCCTCCTCAAAGCTGGGCAGTAGCTGCTCCTTTCTTCAGCAGCACTCTTTCCCTTTCTTCTCTTCACTCTGGCTCTCAAGGTTTCCATGCTCTCTACTAATTTTGTCCTTTAAAATGAGTTTCTGAGGAAAAGGTATTATACAACTGTCATATAAAGTTCTAAATATCTGATAAGACATTTATGTTATTCCTTCAAGAGCTACTTCATTTTTACAGGACATAAAGCCTTTACTAAAGCAATCAAATCAATTATATCTGTAGAATTCTAAGGAAACCAAAGGTAATTTCCATAGATGGAGGTGAGAGACCACCGCCTGAAGTCACACCACTGGGGAGCAGTGACTCCGTCTGGGCCTCGGCTGCCCTGCTGCCACTTAGGCGCACACAGAAAAGCCCAGGGATGGTGAGCCAGGCCCTGCACGCTCTCCGGACTCCTCTGGCCTCTGACCATCCTGCCTCTGCATTCCTATTATACTCAGACACATACAATTCCATACCTCATTTTACAGACCTTGATAACTGTTTCTTTGTACTGGCACTGTTTTCCCATCCAGATTTAAATACTATGTGGTCAGAGGCTTGCATTCCTCACAGGGGAAACTTTGGCTTAGCCTGTTTTAAAAGGTTGACAAGTACACCCTGGTGACAGTTTGGCATCAAGAGACAAGCTCAATTATCTCAAAGGAGAGGGTGATAAGGGAAGGTTTTACATTTTCCAGTTCTGCAATGACACACTCAAGTCCCCACTGTGATATGGACAAGTCACTGGATCTACCTTCCCCAAATTCACTCCTTAACCAAACTCTCACAGAACATCAATTTCTCCTAATATGAATCCGTTAAGGGATAATGTAACTAGTAACCAGTAGTTGTTGAGTTGATTCTGATCCCATGTGTGTCACATTAGAACTGTGCTCCATAACGTTTTCAATGGCTGATTTTTGGGGAATTAGATCACCAGGCCTTTCTTCCAAGGTGCCTGTAGGTGGACATGAATCACCCACGTTTTGGTTAGCAGCCAAGTACGGTCACCGTTTGCAACTTGATGGATTGGTGGTAGAATTCTCTCTTGCCAAGCAAGGGACTCAGCTACCACCTGCCTGTCAGTGGAGGCTTGCATGTTGCTA